TTTACCAATACAGCTCCTAGGGCAATGGAAACTAAAGATAAAATAAATAAATGGAACTACATCAAAATAAAAAGCTTCTGCACAGCAAAAGAAACCATCAACAAAACAACAAGAAAGCCCACTGCATGGGAGATCATATTTGCCAATGCTATTTCAGATAAGGGTTTAATCTCCAAAATTTACAGAGGACTCATACAACTTAATAAAAGGAAGATAAACAATCCAATCAAAAAATGGGTCAAGGACCTAAATAGACACTTTTCAAAAGAGGACATACAGAAGGCCGAGAGACATATAAAAACATGCTCAAAGTTATTAATCATCTGAGAGATGCAAATCAAAACAACAATGAGATACCATCTCACACCTCAGAATGGCTATCAACAAATGACAAGTGATGGCGAGGATGCGGAGAAAAAGGAACCCTCGTGCACTGCTGGTGGGAATGCAGACTGGTGCAGCCACTGTGGAGAACCTGACCAAAGGGTCCCAGGTTCAATTCCAGTCAAGGGCATGTACCTTGGTTGCAGGTACATCCCAAGTAGGGGGATGTGTAGGAGGCAGCTGAATCGATGTTTCTAACTCTCTATCCCTCTCCCTTCTTGTCTGTAAAAAATAAATAAAATATATTTTTTAACAAATGAAACTCCCATTTGACTCAGTAATCCCACTTCTAGGACTATATCCCAAGAAACCAGTAATCCCACTTCTAGGACTCAGTAATCCCACTTCTAGGACTATATCCCAAGAATCACCAATCAGAAAGGATATATGCACCCCTAATTTCATAGCAGCACAATTTACAATAGCTAAGATTTGGAAACAGCCTAAATACCCATCAGCAGATGAGTGGATTAGAAAACAGTGGTACATCTACACCATGAAATAATACACCGCTATAAAAAAGAAGGAACTTTTACCATTTGCAACAGCATGGATGGAACTGGAGCACATTATGCTAAGCGAAATGGACACAGACACTGGGGTGGTGGGGGCATGCCCTCAGGGGTGGGAGTGGCTGGGGGCGGTCAATCGAGGGAAAAAGGAGACATATGTAATACTTTAAACAATTCAAAAAAATAAAAATTGGTAGTTACAAAATAGTCATGATGTATAATACAACATAAGGAACAGAGTCAATAATGTTGTAATAACTCTGTATGGTGCCAGGTGAGTACTGGAAAATATCAGGGGAACACTTTGTAAGTTTATGATTGTCTAATGACTATGCTGTATGACTCAAGGTAATACAAAATAATATTGAATGTAAACTGTTTGAGACAGCATGGAGGGACCTGGAGGGTATTATGCTAAGGGAAATAAGCCAGTCAGAGAAAGCCAAGTATCACATGATCTCACTTATATGTGTAATTTAATGCACAAAATAAACTGACAAACAAAATAGATCCAGAGACATGGAAGCATGCAAAACACTGACAGATCTCAGAGAGAAGGGGGTGGGGGTGGGGGGAGATTAACCAAAAATTTTATATGCATATACACATAACCCATAGACACAGATAGTAGTGCAGTAAAAGCCTGGGGAGGGGCCGGAGCAGGGTGAAGGGGGACCCCGGGGAGGGAAAAGAGGACATCTGCAATACTTTCAACAATAAAAATAAATTTAAAATAATAAACATTTTTAAAAGAAAAGGAATAAAATACTGATAGATACTACAACATGAATGAGCCTTAAAAATGTTAAGTTTGAGAACCAGTCACAAAGGACTTCATGTAATATGATTCCATTTATATGAAATGTCCAGAATAGGCAAAACTATAGAGACAAAGTAGATATGAGAAGGTGAGGAGAGAGATTGGCAATGACTATTAATGAATACAGGTGTCCTTTTGGGAGCAATGAAACTGTTCTAAAATTGATGGTGGTAATGGTTGTACAATTCTGTCTATATATTAAAAGCCATTTTGAATTGTACACTTTATTTTTTTTTTAATATATTTTATTGATTTTTTACAGAGAGGAAGGGAGAGAGATAGAGAGTTAGAAACATCGATGAGAGAGAAACATTGATCAGCTGCCTCCTGCACATCTTTCACTGGGGATGTGCCCGCAACCCAGGCACATGCCCTTGACCGGAATCGAACCCGGGACCCCCCAGTCCGCAGGCCGACGCTCTATCCACTGAGCCAAACCGGTTTCGGCTGAATTGTACACTTTAAATGGGAGTTTTGCATAGTATATGAATCACATCTCAATATAGCTATTTAAAAATAATTTTTTTTACCAGTATCAAAATACCTCACCAGTCTGGTACCATAATTTACTTTAAAAGATGAGGAAACAACAGGTACAAAGAGGACTCAACTTCCAAGTCTGGCTCTTTCCACTGTAGTAGTCCCCTCCTCCCCATTGATAGGGGATGTGTCCCAAGATCTGTAGTGGATGCCTGAAACCACAGTTAATACGACACCCTATATATAATTCTTTTCCCCATCCTAATATATAAAGAGCCAGGGTCCATAACGACCAGACAGACGACCAAACTGTGGGCCCTAGGCCGCTGGGGCATGGTGGTGGGAGGGATCTGAGTGCCTTGGGCCTCCAAGGCACAGTGACAAGAAGGGTCTGTCGGGCCCAGGCCGGCTGTGTAGGTCCCAGGCTCAGGCAGCCACAGGTGGCTGCAGAGAGGCCAGACTGTGGCTTAGGTGGGGGGCGGGGGTGGTCGGCCGAGGGCATGAGGCTGTGAAGGTCCCAGGCTCAGGCAGCCGCAGGTGGCTGCGAAGGGCCCAGGCTCAGGCTGGCAGTGGTAGCAGCAGCGGGGTAATGGGGGTGGCGCCTTTCCCTGATCCACCAGGTCGCCTCCCACAGAGGGAGGCCAGACTGCAGCTTAGGTCAGGGGCTGAGGCAGAGGCAGTTAGGGGCGATCAGGCCGGCAGGGGAGCAAGTTAGGGGCAATAAGGCTGGCAGGGGGGCAAGGTAGGGTCAATCAGGCCGGCAGGCAGAGGCAGTTAGGGGCGATCAGGCAGGCAGGCAGAGGCCTAAACAGGCAGTCGGACATCCCTTGAGGGGTCTCAGATTGGAGAGGGTGCAGGCCGGGCTGAGGGACACCCCCACCCCCCACCCCGTACACATATTCCGTGCACTGGGCCTCTAGTACATACATAACTATGGTAAAGTTTCATTTATAAATTAGGCAAAGAGATTAACAACAATAACTAATACTAGAGAACAATTGAAACAATATCTATAATAATAAAAGCATAATATGCAAATCAACCAAATGACCAAACAGCAGAACAACCATCTGGACGACCTTCCAGACGACCATGCTATGACACGCACTGGTGCCAGGCCAGCCAAGGCGGGTGCAATGCAATTGGTAGTGGTGGGGGGGGCCACCATCACCCCATGATCACCCCGTAGAGGGATGCCCAGGCCACCAGCCAGCAGGGTGACCAATTGGGGGGGCTGATCGATCGCCCCACGGAGGGAGGCCCAGGCCACCCTCTGCAGGGCGATTGATTGGGGGGCTCCGCGGAACCGGAGAACCAGAGGTGTGTGGTGGCAGATGTGGGCAGCGCCAGGCCAAGGCGGGTGCGGGCAGGGGGCGGGGCCGGGAGGCAGCCAGGGCTGTGAGAGCCCCAGCAGGGGGGCTGCAAAGGCCTACCCTTGCATGAATTTTATGCATCAGGCCTCTGAACCGGAGAACCAGAGGTGTGTGGTGGCAGATGTGGGCAGCGCCAGGCCAAGGCGGGTGCGGGCAGGGGGCGGGGCCGGGAGGCAGCCAGGGCTGTGAGAGCCCCAGCAGGGGGGCTGCAAAGGCCTACCCTTGCATGAATTTTATGCATCAGGCCTCTAGTACTGTAATAAAAGGTATGTAAAAGTGGTCTCTCTCAAAATATTTTATTGTACTGTACTCATCTTTTCACTTAAAGCAGTGGTTCTCAACCTTCTGGCCCTTTAAATACAGCTCCTCATGTTGTGACCCAACCATATATTTTTGTTGCTACTTCATAACTGTAATGTTGCTACTGTTATGAATCGTAATGTAAATATCTGATATGCAGGATGGTCTTAGGCGACCCTTGTGAAAGGGTCGTTCGACCGTCGAAGGGGTCGCGACCCACAGGTTGAGAACCGCTGACTTAAAGGAAGCACTTTTAGGGCTTTTTTTTTTTGGCAGCATCACTACTCTTGCATTTTGGGGCCACTGTTAAGTAAAATAAAGGTTCCTTGAACACAAGCACTGCAATGCTGGGAGGGTATGCAGCCTGGAGTGGCTGGATAAAACGGTATGGTTCACATCCCCGGCTGGACGGAGGAGGATGGTATGAGATTTAATCACGTCACTCAGAATGGCGCACAATTAAAAATTTAAGTTGTTCATTTCTGGAATTTTCCATTTAACATTTTCAGACCACAGTTGACCCAGGTAACTGAAACCATGGAAAGTTGGGTGACGGAATACTCAATCTTCCCTCCTTGTGAATTTACTATAGTTGTACATGCCTCTAGCACTTAAAATCATAGTTGACTAACTTCTTCGGAGATTGTCTGACGTCAGTGCATCAAGATCTAGTAAAGCGCTTTGGCATTTAATACGTGCTTAAATGAACGTTTATTTAACAAAGATCTACAATGAAGGCTAAATAAATGCAAAATAAAGAACCCAGTACATGGATATCTGCCCAAAAGAAGGCACAAAAATAGAAACGAATAAAGCAGAAAAAAGAAATGAAAGATAGGAGAAACGGTGGCTATCTCTCCCTCTCCTTCCTCTGCCTGCGACGGTTTCCCTGTAAAGTTCCAGAAAGGAGTCAGGCGTTACCGGGCGGCATCACCGCCGGCCTCGGCCAGCACCAAGGACGCCAACGGGCGGGCTCATTTTCCCGCCTCGCTCAGACAGAGAAGGGGGTGGGGCCCCACGGAAGGCGGCGTTACGTCACATCCGGTTCGAGTCGCGCCTTGGCGGGGAAGGGACTCGGGCGCCGAGGGGCGGGGCCAACAAAGCGCGCGTTTTGAGAGGGGGCGGAGCCGGATTAAAGACGCTGCGTCACATCCGCGAGACTTAGAGCCCGTGTGGCAGCGGTGCGGAGCGGTCGGGTTCTCAGCGGCGTGGAAACTTGTGGTGCTGACAGGCTGCGGCCGAGCCTCTGTGAAGAAGGTGCAAGAGGTTGGCAGCTTCGGTTGAAGCACATCGAGCCGAGCGGCGGCGGCGGCAGCAGCAGCATCGTCTAGGAGTCATGAGCGACAGCGGCGAGCAGAACTACGGCGAGCGGGTACGTAGAGGTGCTGCAGGGGGCGAATGTGTGGTCCCAGTTTCTTGCATCTCTTCAGGCCTGTGGGCCTCGGACAGGGAGTTGGGCGACTTCGGCTCCGAAGTCAGTCCGGGAGGAGAGGAGTCGGATTGAAAAAGCGTTTGTGAATAGTTTTTATTCGTGAGGAAGGCCAGAGAGGCAGGTTTAGGTGGCCTCGGACCCGAGTCGGCGGTTTTTTCTGTTATAAGGGGGATTAAAATGGCCGCTGCGTCCCCTCGGTGTTGGGGGAGGGGAGCAGTATCTTATTTCGCCGTTGCTCTCCAGCGAGGCCTCGCCGCCGCCATCTTGGGCTGGCAGGCTGGGCGCGCTGCCAGAGGCACAAAATGGCGGCAGAGCCGCGCGTCCACGAGGGCCGGCCCCGCGCCTCACAGGGCTACTTGGTTAGGAAAAGAAGAGCACGTTCTTTGGGGTCTTACACCGGTATTTGGATTAAGAAAGGGTCGTCTTATGAAGCCCCCCCCAAAGGATGGAACCTAGTGTGTTCTTGGGGCTTCTTTTAGGGTGGGGAGAACTAATCTGAGGTAGACTAAATTCTCGGCCCGTTAATTTGAGGAGATGGCGGGCGGGCTTTGTGTTAGGCCTAAATGGAGTGCTTTTCTTTGGTACCGAAAGGGCTTTCAAACCAAAACTCATCAGAGTATACCAATAGAATAGACCACGAGAAATAACGTTTTCTTATTTTATGGAGTAGATATTTTTCCATGGGATTGTATAGGACAAATTGGCGGGCAACAACGATTTATGGCGCCGTTACTTTCTTTGTTTCAAGGCATTCTAATTCTTTGGACCACTTGTACCTGTTCTTTTTTTTTTTTTTTAAGTCTCCACCTCCCCGGTGTGGAGTTCGGTGCGGGTTGATTAGATTTCAGTAGTAAAACAGTTCCCAGGTTTTAAACAGCACGTTATAAAGGTTGGTTGCGGGGTGTATGCTTTAATGACGATGCAACAATGCAAGGCTTGCCAGAGTCTTGCATGTTTGGAGATTAAGGAGAATTTGTTAGAAGAGTGATAAAAAATCACCACAGAACTTGATTTTTTTAACTTGCTAGAAATAAGGTAGGTGTTTTTACAGTCTGTTACTTAAGATTTTTTTCCCCTTTCTAGTAGAGCCACCTTAAAATCAGTCTAAGTAATTGACAGGTAAATCTCAAATATCTTAGCAAACGCGTGTAAAACAGATTCGAGGTGGTTTAAAAATATCTTAGCTCCTGGCACATTAGTGAACTTACTGTGTACCATTGGAGCCAAACCTGTTTGATTTGGTTTGAACTAATCAGGTCTCCCTTATATATTCAGGTGAATGTTTCTTAGGGTAAGAAAGTTTGAATTGTGCTCACAAATTGTGAAAGCTGTGGCTTCTAGTTTCTACTAGTTGAATATACTTTGGAAACTAGTCACTGGTATTTGTATTGGAAAGCAAATGACAATTTTTAGTCCTCAGTGATTGAACAAAACAATTACTGGGTACTTCTGCACTGTTTAGGGACAACAAAACGACTGACTAGCTTAGTTGAATATTCCTGGAAGAGTTACTAAAATCGTGAGCTTGTGGAGATGAAAATTTGCCTAAAAGAAAATAAGTTAGTATGTTTTACATAAGGGAAACAGTTGCGGTTAGGTTCAGGTTTGAGACAGCTGAAGAGGTGTCATCTTATTAATTAGAATTTTTTTGAAGCGGGCATATTTTCTTCTAGTAGAGTATACATCCTAGTGTTTTCCATAATGCTATTACATAGACTAGGTATTCACTAAATTATTATGGAAAGAGAAAGATATAAAATAACTTTAAGCTGCATATTAGAAGAAAAAACTTTATTACTCAGGAGTCATGACTTCCTGGAAGAAATTTCTAAACTTGAAGTTGTGGGATACTTCCATTTTATTTGGTTTGGTGTTTTGTATGTTTGCTTTCCAACTGGTGGTTGGAACCTGAAGTTGTTAGGATAGACCTAAAACATGTGTTTGGACTCCCAAAGAATGCTTGGCAAACCATAAAGGTCAGTGGAACAGTTAAATAAAATACCATAAAAAGGGTTGGGAGGTAGAACAGTCAGGTCTGATTAGCAAAAAACTTCCTTTTGAAACTGCCTGAAAGCAGTGAAAAAGTTGCTTTCAGGGCAGTAATCTTGGACTTGCCTGTAGCCTCTTTGTGGAGCCTGAAAAATTACTTTTCATTTCACTCTAGGCTCTCAAACATGCCAAACTGATCATGTAAATAAATCACTCATACAAATCTCAATTCTGCTGTAATCTTACCCCTCATTTATATAAATCTCTAATCCACTCTCTCACAACCCCCAAAGTAACTCCAGAAATTTTTTGCCCCTAATCCTTTAGACATTGGAAGTAGTTCATCTCCTAAATAGAAATGTTGTGTGTGTATGCAGTAATAAATTATCCTCTTAGAACTAATATAGTGTGTCTCCCCTTGTCTTATTTTAAATGTGTATGTTGGATGTGTTCTTGAATATTTGTGGTTCGTGTCACTTTTATGGCAGAATCTACCTTTTATCTTTACCTGGGATTTTTGTGTCAAAGTGTATTTAAGTTCAAGAAATGTGTCTCTAATTAGATTTGAGATCCCTGATCCTGGCCAAACCCATGCAAGAGTAAAATGTTTTTTGTTTTTGTTTTTTGTCTTTTTTTATGGTCTCCAAATTAAAGTATCCTCCAGAATTTCCAAAACTTGCCTGCAAGCTTTTTTTTTTCCTGCAAAGTGGCTGACATCTTTGCCATAAGAGGCACTCTTAACAGTTATGTCACATTTGGTAGAATATTGGCTTTTTTTGTAGACCTATTTGCAATATAGGAACTAGTCTTAACTTTCTTTAGACATGAATAGTGTCTGGATACATACCATCACATCAAGCTGCCCTTCAGATTCTGCATTGTTTTCTGTTTAATCCTGAATTCTTTGTGTATTCTTTGCTTTTTAACCCCAAATTCTAATTTTTATAATTGAAACATCTCAATCTAATTCTTTTCTAGAAAATTGTAGCTATTGTACCAATTTCCTTTAATAAAGGGTTGAATTTATGGAGTGGGAGGAAATAGTTTGCTTTGTCTCGTTATGAGTGATTAGGTATGAGTCTCTTGAAACCAGGTTAGCTAAGAATATTTTAATTATGTGGATAGTGTCTGAAACTAGAAAGTGACATTGTGAAACTGAAATTCCAAGTGATAAGGTAAGTAATACTGGTTTTGCTGGGGGGAAATGGAGAGGAATTAGATGGTGAGGGATATGTTACATGGAATTCCCCTTATACATCCAATTCCCATTTATGGCTGATAAAACCCCAAACCTAAGTGATGAGTATTTTTATAGTTGACGTTTTTGCCCAAGAGTACCGAACTACAATTGTCTGTATCTTTTGCACTTTAGCACTGTCATTTGTTGATACATTTTTATACATAAATTGTATTATCTCACAGTGTATAGTGATGGGGTGGTGATTAGTATTTAAAGAATTTAAGTGTTTTACCAAGGTTAGTTTTGGGTGGTGTGGGCCACATGGAATTAGGTATTGTCGGTTTTGTTTTTAAGCTGCAAGCCACAAAAGTTCTTAACTACAGCTAATTAGTCTTCAAGTTCCCCCAAATCTTTGCTTTGAATTGGATTTTGGGAGTTATTTTCAGATTGTTACTTTTATCAACATAGATGGTCTAATATGATAGCATGAGATGAGGTCCCTCTTTTGCATTGATTTTTGTGGTTAGGTATTAGATGAAGAATAGGTAGTCTTCTGAAAGTAAAAAGGCATACTTAAACTTGCTTTTGCTGGAAAGTACTGAATGTTTTATGAATGTAAATTTTAGAGTACTGTTTTTGCAAGAGATCTCAAAAGCATGGGCTGAAAACTGATGGAGGCATGTCAGATAGTGGGTTTTTTCAGAGCATATTCTCAGTTTGAGGATTTTTCTATTACCCAATCTTCTGGTAGAGTGGCTGCAAAAAAATTAAATAGTCTTTATAGTGATATGAAAATTGACCATAATAGGTTTGATTTGCTCCCTCCCAATTTTTAAAATATTAACCTTGCAATCAGCCTGATGAGTTTGCACGTTTTTAATGTTACATGAATTCCACTTGTAATCTCTAGAATCGTTTTAACAGAAAATTTGTTGACGGGATGGGACAAGTTTCTGCTTATTTCTAAGTAGGATCTCTTCGAGTAATTAGCTCAATAGTTGGTCTTTTGGTTTTATAAAGTGGCCACTTGGTAGCTAAGTTGAAATAGACCTCTTATTTACATTATTTAGTAGTGTATCTTATAGTTCAAATACAAAAGAGGAAAGGTTGGGAAGGAGTAATAACAGCAGGAAGGCGTCCATATTGATAAGTTGTGATATCTAGAGCTTTGGCCTCCATGCCAGTATCTTCTGCATCAAAGTCCTGTATCTGTACATACTCTTTAGGAGCCCTAGGAGGAAACCTGCTTGGGCATTCTGATTCCACGATTACATTTGTGCTGCTAGCAAACAGTTCCCATTACATTTTAGTGATGGATACTAAAAGAAAATTAACTACTGTGACTCCCTTAAATGAAAACCTATTTAAAAATTTTCCTGGGTTAAGTAAACAATAATTGACTTTTTAAAACTATATTGAAATTAGGCTTACTTTCTTAGAAAAGACAGCACTTCCACAAATAGCCATGGCAGTCTTTATGCCCAGATAGGTATAAAGACTTTTTTTTTTTTTAAGAAAGTTTTATTTTTCCCAGAAAGAAAATAAAACTAGGAGAGGAAATTGTTGACAGTGAAACAGAAGACATAAGATGAAATGCAGGAAAACTAGGATGTTTTATGAGGACAATATTTTGTTTAGGGTATTGAACAGACACTAGTATATTGATGTTAAATATTTTTAGTAACTTCAAGAGGTGAGCTATACTTTTCCCCATATTGCCACCTTTAAAAAAGTAAAATTTCTCCTTTGGACTGCAGAAGATTTTAATTGTTCATTGAGGGGGGCGAGTTTACAACATTATTTGAAAATACCAATGATGCACTCTAATTTGTTCTGCTTTCCTTCACTTGAATGTAGTAGTTGGTTGACTTGGTTTTAGTTCTAAATTTAGTAATTGGACCATTCAGAATATAAAAACTTACTAGAGCAGTTTTCTAGGGATAGGTTGAACACTTAAATATAATCCAAATTTTCAGATTCCCTGACATTGTCTTTCTATAGAGCTCTTTAGACATATGGTACAAAAATGTGTGACATTAAGTACATTTCTTGACCTTATAAGACAAGTCACAATTTGTAAATCTCTCCTACCCTGAGCCCTGTCATCATTGTACAAATGAATTGTTCATGCTTTCCTTTCTTGCACTTTTGTATTTATGTGTCACTTTTTGACTGGAGTTGTGCTTTTGACACTTAACATATTTTCAATTGATGGATAAAATAAGAAGTGTGAAATATAGTTCTTAAAATGATAGATGAACAGTAAATGTTCAGTAGCGCACTTCACATTCAACTTAAGCATGACAAATGAGATTGATTACCATATATATTTTAGAACCAGCAGGAGACTGTAGTTTCAGGTTTTTGAGCTGCATATTCTAGGTGTTTTTAATTATTTTTTTAATCCAAAACAAGGGATTTTTTTTTTCTAGTTTCAGTTTTGGCACTGGATTTTATCCTGGAGTTTTAAAATATTCTTCATCCTGTTCTTTTTCTATTAAGGTTAATGTTGAAGAAGGAAAATGCGGAAGTCGTCATTTGACAAGTTTTATAAATGAGTATTTGAAGCTCAGGAATAAGTGAAGCTGAAATTTGAAAAAATTAAAGAATGCATGCTAATTATCAGACCAGAAGTCCCACTTGTAGAATATTGAGCAATTTGTGTGAAGTGGGGAAGATGAAAGAAGTCAGAATTTGAAACGGAAGAATGAAGAAAAGAAATAAAAATGAAGTTAAGATAAGAAGTAATCTGGAATCAGAAAGCACTACGCTAAGTAATTACTAGTCTGTTTATGTGTCCCTGTATATTTTGCTAAACATGCATGCATTATTTGTTTAATAGAAGGAAATATATACAGGGTAAAGAAGTGCCTTCCAGGGGGAACGTTTAAATTAGGTAATTCTAATTTTAACTTCTTAGTCAAATTATATTGAAATGCGACTTTTAAAAAAAATAACCCTTTGTAGTCAAATACCAGGCAGGAATGAGCTTTCCAGCATGGGTAAAAGTTGGCTTCATGTTGTTTCCTCTAGACTTTTTCGTCTTTCTAACTGCTGCTCCTAGGGACATGAATAAGTACCTCCAGAGTTGGAACTGGTGGTCTCTGCCACCCCCCTGGACTTTTACTATGCACTGACCCCTATCTTAAGTACTAAGCAAATATACAGGGTGGGGCAAAAGTAGGTTTACAGTTTTGAGTATGCAGAAAAGTTTGTATTATTTTTTTTCCATAGGAACAGCTGTAAACCTACTTCCCCCTACTCCCATATAATAGGATGTTGTCATAATTTCCCTAAAGAATGTCACGAGAGTGGTTATAGAACCAAGCCCTCAAAATCCAAGCAAAGCATTGAACAGGATACTTTTGGCATTTATGAAAACAAATTTCCTTACAGATGGCAATAGTGGAAAGCTATGACCACTTAGGTCCTAACTTTAAGGTGCATGTGTGCTAAATTCACAAGGATGATTCTTAATTCTTTTCTGTTTAATGCTTATTCCAGCTGAATGACAAGGGTTACTGCTAAAAATACCGTGGCTTCCCTTAGAATAAGGTGGGTCACACATAAAAGTGAACAGGATATCTAACTCAAAATGGCAATAGTAGCAGGTGCTTCATTCCAAAATCAGCTTTATTTCTTTTTCTCATTTTCTGCTATTAACACTTAGCTATTATAATGATGTAAGAGGTATAGGTTTATAAAGTAGCTTTCTTCTGGTTCTCCACTCCCACCACTTATGGGAGAATAAATCTAAAAGTTCTGTCATTTTCCTTTCTGTATGTTTTGTTGTAGCTGAATAGAAGAGTCAGATGATTGTAATGATGTTGCCTTCAGTTGGATGGAACAAGTACACATCAAAGTAATACTCAATGATAGCCAACCAACAGCTGTCTTCTACCCTATTGGAGAAGCCAAGGTTATCACTTCTCCTTTCTGAAATGAAAAACCCAAAAACTTTTCCTCTCACCCGAAACCTATATAACTATTAACCAATCTTACCCCAATAAATTGAATTACAGCTTTAAAAAACTACTCAGAGTTGTTGGGTCCACTGCTCATGGAAAAAGTGGCTTAAGTTGCATTTCTAGAGGGATCCCATTTTCTGAGATGTTAGGGCCTATCGTCAATGTGAAATTGGCCTTTTTTTATAGTGTTTATTTCTGTATCTTGCAAGGAGAAGAAAATTATTACCATTTATAGGAGAATTTCCAGCATTTGCCTTGCCCCATTACTGCTTTGTAAAAAAAAAAAAAATTCCGCCTACAAACTAATAATTAAATTCATTATGTAACTTTGCATCCTGAATTACAAATAGGCAGAGAGTTGAGGTGAAAGTGATATGAGTGGATATTTCTGTTCAAGCCCTGGGTTCTTTTATTAGGAGGCTGAAAGGTTCTTGAGGTCCAAAAGAGAAAAGACTTAATTAGCCCTCAAGGAGGGGTTGGGGGGGGGGGCAGTTTAAGGTTTGATTAAATGACCCAAGGTAGATAAAGGGCAAAAATAAACATTGATGTTAGACCACCTTACCCATTAAGGTATTCTGTTTCCCCTTGCGGGTGAAGTGTGCATGTGTGCTAAATTCACAAGGGGCAGGCCTCTTGTCCTGAGCAGTAAGGTAAGGCTGATTAATGTGAGGGAGGGGTGCAGGTGAAGCAGAGATAGCACAAAGTTGCAGGAAGATGCCTTTGTCGAGAAAAAAAAAGGTGGGATGCATAACACTTCAGAGGTTGGCTAAGTCAGTGAGACTTAACTAGCATCATAAACATGTATGGTGCTTTTAAGAAGTGAACATACCCAATTCTAGATAATAGTTAAAATCAGCTCCAGATAGGGGACTTGTTTTTTTAAATACTGTAGGTCTACAAGAGTCAGTTTTAAATCTAATTACTGCATCCAGTCTTTAAAAAATAATACAGAAGAAACCTAGCAATTGGGTGGTTATTCCCACTTCTGTCACCTTTCAAAGGTTTTCTAAGCTGCTGCCTTCTCAGAATAGGGGAATGAGAAATAAGGTGTTCTGTTGGAAGGCTAACTTTTTTTCCTGATGTGTTTCCTGTAGGTTGTATGTTACTATGTGACTGACATCCAATTCATAACAACTGAATTCTTCAGGAGGTTTTCAGGGAATTTTTGTCTTTGTTTTAATATGCTCATCTTAGTTCATGATTCTTCTCCTTGAGGTACAGATGTTCAGAGTAGTGCTTCTTTTGGTAGGATTTAATGTTGACACCAGTTTGTCAGCTGAGAGTAGACTTGAAATTTTCCTTGTGTAGAGGGTTTTCCCAGCTGGTTTTACAGATTTGCCTGTGGATTAAGGTTTAAAGTTAACTCTCTGCTTTTAGATTTGGCTAATAATTTAATTTTAGATCTTATTTCTTCTAGACAGGCTAAATTTCCTTGCATGTATTTCCAAGCCAGCTAATGGCCAACATAACTACAAAGGGGTTTAACTTCTTTAAGGATATTCCTGGTGAGAACAGTTGGTGCAGGCATTGTTTAGATGTTAACCTAACCAAATATCAGTATAGAAAGGGAAATTTTTGCATTCTGGTGTTTTCCCCCTTTCCTGGTTAAAGAAATAATTGCCCACAAAATATATATGCCAGGTAGTTTCAGAGGCTGCGTGAATTCTTAAAATTCTTGATCTGTTAGAATTTCATGGGGGAAGTCTCAATATGGCTTAGAATTACTATCTCTTCTCTTAGTGAACAGACTAATAAAAAGCATTTCAGCTTGGAATAAGGCTGTTCTGTTTAATAAAGCAAGAGGCTTTTTAAAGAAGGGGAATCTTGACCCTCTCTTTCTACTTAGATCCCTATGCTGACTAGTTTCAATTAACTGCATAACTTTGTTGGTAATCTTTTTAACTCTTACTATGAAGCACCTATATTCTGCTTCCTTCCAGAGCAACTTTTCTTCTTTGGCTTCCATTAAAGGTTATAATTGTTCCATGACGTAATCATTCTGGTAGTGAAGTAAACAAAGGCGTTTAGTAACTTTTGGGTCTCCATTACAATCTTCTATGTTAGATGTTGCCTGTGGTAGAAACTAAGCCCCCATTTTTGAAAATTACTTTGTCCAAAAGTACCATCTATTTCTTTGACTTTGTTATCACTCCTAGAGGGAAGGAGTGGAAAGTTTCGCATTTCATCTCACATCACACCATATTTTATGATGACTTTGAAGTGTTGGGAAAGTTTCTAAAGTTGTTATGGCCTAGAAACCAGAACTCATTTTACAGGCTGAGTTAACTCTTTTCTTCCCTATTCTAATCTTCGATTTTTAATTTGTCTCGTATATAAATTTTTTCTCTGGGTGTCATAGGAAGGATCCTCCAAATTTTCTCCATTGTGCTGTAAATCTAGAACGTAGTCTAAAATGTTTGAGGCTATAATTTAAAAATAATCCTGTTCTATTTTTTTCAAGAATATTCTAAAGATCTACCACACAGGGAGGTCCCTAACTTTTATCCAGCAGCTTCAACATCCATTCTTCCCTCCACAGTAATGTTGGTTCCTTTTGAATCTGGCCATTTTTATTCTATCTTGGGTGGAAAAACTCACTGAACTTTATTTATGCCTTTTAATTTGCCTAACATTTGGTAACTTGAAATAAAGGTTGTCTTGTTTGATGATGCCTTAGATGTCAGTAGTGTAAGTGTGGGTGTTCTCTTATCCAATTTTCTGTTTCTTCATTTGGCAGAATGTTTCTCTGGTTCCATTACTACTTATACATGTATGCCTTTTCTGCTGATTAGTTGGTCTTTGGTGAACTGCTGGTCATCCTATTTATCCATTCCATTGTTAGTTTTGTTCTGAGAGAGATCTTCCTTTTGTGCCACTTACCTACTGGCTAATCCTAGTTTTGATTGGGAAAGCTATGGGTATATAGTATATACCTAGACTTTGGTTTTACATATAATTCCTGGATTCCCTTTCTAAGCCTAGGTTAGAAGCTCCTAATTTAATATTCTGGTTTTAATAGGTACGTTAGATAGCTTTTCTAACTTCCCATTTGCCCTGGCTCATCTCCATTTAACTGAGGAAGCTGTAGTTCTCTGGCACCCTCTCTATTCTCTTACCTTTGCACAATTCACTACCTTTCTGCTGTAGCTCCATCTGGTTTGTTTCTGGGTCTTCCAAGGCCTCCCACCATGATTAGATGGAACAGGGTCTTAACTGTCTGGTGTCCTTCAAGCTGGTCCTTGCTTTCCACTAGGCTTCTACATTTCTCTAGGATTTGAAAAAGGTTGTCCTTGTCTCTTTTCCCACTGAATAACAATTTGAAAAGTTGAGGTCTTAATAAAAAATCAAAAGCATTTTAAAAGTAAGTTTTATAAATTTCATAGGGTTTTGTTTTTAACTGAGGTAACTTGATTGAAATAGGTATAATGGATAGAAGTCATAGTTATTTTTAATAAGGTTGTTTTTCACCCTAATCTTTATGGAGTAACATTCCCTAAACACAATCCTTGGACAATCCCTCAGCTGCTTGGCTTTGACACCCCTTTCTGAAGAAAGTGGATCAGTTAACTTATTCCTGCTCCAAAAAGGTGGAAGTTCAAGTTAATCGACATATGTCAATTGGAGCAATGCAATTGTACTGGGTATATTCAGTTCCTGCCCTTATATTTTCTTACCTTGGAAGGGGATTGCTTTCCCTCACCATTTATTTCACAGCAGCTTATTTGTTTTAAAGTTGCCCAGAAAGTATACAAATTAAACTTTTGACATCTACGTGTAGGAATCCCGTTCTGCTTCCAGAAGTGGAAGTGCTCATGGATCTGGGAAATCTGCAAGGCATACCCCTGCAAGGTCTCGCTCCAAGGAAGATTCCAGGCGTTCCAGATCAAAGTCCAGGTCCAGATCTGAATCTAGGTAAGAAAGACTGTTGCTCTTAGCTTTGAAATTGGTGTGAACTTTGTAAACTAGGAAGATAGAGAGGATTCGATTATTTGTTGGCCTGTATAATCCTTAGTAGAAATTAAGTTAATCATAAGTTCTAGAAGACCGAAGACTATGTAATCGTTAAAGGCCTGGGCTTTTGAGTTAGGCCTCAAATCTTACCTGTTTTTTTCTGGTTTGGACAGATTATTTAACCTTTTTCCACCTTAGCTTCCTTATATAAAGGCAAGTTAGTAATAGTACCAGTTCTTCAGAATTGAGTATAAGTAACCTACTTATTGCAAATATACTGCAGAACATTGGCTTTCAGTAACTGCAATTTTTGATTAATAGGTGTAGGCTAGTATTATATTGAATGTATGTATAAAGCAAAAGTAATAACGTGTACTTTTTTTTTTAATGTTGGTCAAAAGTATGCCATACATCCTGGTTGCCCAGGACAGCCCCATTATATGCCCGTTATGAAGCATCATTAACCGTACCTTTTCTCTCTTATAATGTGTCCATCCTGATTGAGATGACGATTCATATCATCACTCTCTATCTAGTTAAGAGCAACTGGTTGCTTTTAAAACACAGCAGAGGGAGCTACTATGATGGTGATTTTACCTTAAGTGAATGGTGGGCATAATGGGAGAAGCAGAAAAATAGGGTGGTATTCTGAGAGGGAGACAAATTAAGCTAGTATGGATGCATGTTTCCTGATTTTCAAAAGATGATTGAATGTGTTCACTTTATTTTTTTAATAAGAAAGGTTGGAAGAGAGTTAATGGTTTTGGAACTCTAACAGTTGAATTGACTATTAATACAGAAAAAAGGTATCAATTCCACTCATTTGGTATCATGCTAGTATATGCCTGGATTGTGTTCTGTCTTCTGGAGTTTAACTCTAGAGTATTAAAAAAAATTGTAAGCCATATTTTGTCAGCTATTTAGTCATGACCTTTGGAGCCTTTGTTTTGCAGGTCTAGATCCAGAAGAAGTTCTCGAAGGCATTATACAAGATCACGATCTCGGTCTCGCTCCCATAGACGATCCCGGAGCAGGTCTTACAGTCGAGACTATCGGAGGCGTCATAGCCACAGTCATTCTCCCATGTCTACTCGCAGACGTCATGTCGGGAATCGGGTATGATGAAAAATATTCTGTTTTTGAAGCAATAGACTGTCTAAAACCACTTAATTTAATAGTCCTATCTCTTTTTGAAGTTAGAAATGATTTTGACAATGGAGCATTAGCAGAGAGTTACCTTTTTGAGGCTTTCTAGTGTTTTGAAATAATCTTTTTTTAAAAGATATCTCCCAGCCTGGCCAGGTAATTTAGTTGGTTTGAGTGTCTTCCTGATATGCAAAGGTAGTGGGTTCAGTCCCCAATCAGGACACATAATAAGAATCACCTAATGAATGTATAAATAAAGTGGATCAACAAATCTGTTCCCCTCCCCCTCCGTTGCCGCCTTTTAAAAAGTTAAATAAATGAAAAGGTGTCTCCCATGTATGGTGTACATTTGGGCTAGCATTCATATTTAAGTTAAGCACATTGTCACATTTATAATTCAGCCCATCAAATAATACTCCATGTGCATTACTGTTATAATATTAGTACATTAGATCATATAGCATCTATGTATCTGTTCCATACTTATGTTACTTAAGTTTTCTGTGTTGGTTATTAATACCTATTACATAATGCTTTCCCATTTAATTGTAAGCAAGTTTCTTTTGGGTAGTAAGTCTTTTTCTTGTCTTCCATGAGGGTTCCAAATGAGATGGCATTTAGTGTATTTATATTGTGATTTCATTGTATAATCCAAATGGTTTTGTAGGGTGTGTGTTTGTTTCTGAGAGTGGAGTGGAATTTGGAGTAAATAAATGAAAACGGGGTAAATTCATTATGGCAACTGGAATGTCATCAAGATGTGGTTCACTTTTTATAATGATTGCAAGCAAGCTGTTTAATATCTGTTAACAGTTGAGTGCACATCTTTGACTTCATTTGTGTGTGTATGTGAATAGTTTGTTTCTAAAAATAGGATCAAGCCTAGCATTCCCTATATTTTAATTCAGCATTTTTAGTTTATCATGTATTTCTCTGGCTTGTAGAGACAATGCTATTCTGATTGTGTGTACATATTATGAATGTGTGAACTTTTTATGTTTTTATTTTTAGAGAGGAAGGGAGAGGGATAGAGATAGAAACATGGGTGAGAGGGGCATCGATTGGCTGCCTCCTGCACACCCTCTACTGGGGATCAAGCCTGTAACCCAGGCATGTGCCCTGACTGGTGACCTCTTGGTTCCTGGGTCAACACTCAACCACTGAGCCACACAAGCCAGGCTATGTGAACATTTCTTAAAATAAATTCCTAGAAAGTGAATCACTCAAAATTGCCCTCTAATCTCCCCCCAAAGAGTTAGTTTGTTTTTTAATAGTATGTGCCCCTTACCCCCCTCTACTTAATTCTAAGATTAAAATTGCTCCTGTTGTAATTCTTTCTGACCGTTTGTTTGTTTTAGTTAATCACCTGGGATATCTTTTCCATTGATTTTTGTTTGTTTCTTTGTTTGTTTTATAGAGAGGGTGGAAGGGAGGGGGAGAGACAGAGGGAGAGAAACATCGATGTGAGAGAGACACATCCACTGGTTGCCTCCCGCACACGCCCCGACCGGTGCCGGTGATCAAGCCTGCAACGGAGGTACGTGCCCTTGATCGGAATCTTAACCGGTCTGTGGGTCGATGCTCTAACCACTGAGCCAAACCGGCCAGGGCCTTTCTGCCCATTCTTAAACATGCTTGCAGCACTTGCTGTAACACATGCATTTTTAAAATGTTTATTTAGTCTGTTTACTTTTATTCGTAGTGACACTTTTGGCTAATTTGTTTATGCTGTTTCCTTTTTATTTGATTTATGGCAACGTTTTAAAATCTACTTTTCTGTTTTTAGGCAAATCCTGATCCCAACTGTTGTCTTGGAGTATTTGGATTGAGCTTGTACACTACAGAGAGAGATCTAAGAGAAGTATTCTCTAAGTATGGCCCCATTGCTGATGTGTCTATCGTATATGACCAGCAATCTAGACGTTCAAGAGGATTTGCCTTTGTATATTTTGAAAATGTAGATGATGCCAAGGAAGTAAGTAAAAGCCTGCCTGTACCTTGTAAACTAGCAGCCCTATTGTAAACTTCCAAGTATTTTAGGAAGGACAACTTTGGTTTTAATATTGTAAATAGGATGTGTAAATGTAGCTTGAGTTAAAGGAAATGCAGTCTTCTGGGAAAAGATTGAAACCAGTAATACTTATGAACTTCTTCAACCTTTTATTATGGAAAAATTCAAATATATACAGAATAATAAAGTGTGACTTAGGGCAACTGGTTATATTATGCTCCACTTCAGTATACTTAACTTCTGGCCTGCTATACCTCTAACTCAGTCACCCAACATTACCACCACATTATTTTGAAGTAAAACCTGAGGGCAGCACTTAATACATGACTGGTTCCAGATATGATATACATACTAGGTATAGTTATTGAAGGTTAATACTCTTTAGACTTTCATCAGTGTTTACATTGAACCATTTTCTACAATGAAGAATATTTAAAATTGATAGTTATGACTCAAAAAGGATCTGGTTCATATTTAAATGTTAATTGGCTTCAGGCAGAATGTTGGAAGTAAAAAAAATTAGTATGTTGACTAAAAGTGAACATGGACAGTGTGAATATGGGCCATATTTTAAGAATTTGGACTTTATTTGTATACGGATAATAGCTGGAGTCATCTCCAAGGGATGGTATAAAGAAGAGAAAAGCTTGGAAAACAGTGATAAACCATCTTAGGTCAATATTGAGATTGGGAATTCAGTTCTAGGTAAAATTATATGGTTATTTATGAAAACTGTACTTATTTTTGAAAACCATAAGAGTAACCTGAACTGCTAAAGGAAGAATGGAAAGCTAAATGCAAGTAATTAGGATAGACTACAATTTAAGATATTTAAGGGATTTCCAAAGATATAAATAGGGTTTTTCCCATGGTTACTAGTAGCATAGGCCTTATTTCCCTAATTTTCTGCTACAGTACACAGCTTTCTGAAGAATAGCATACTAATATTTTGTATCTGAATCAGTAGTGCCAGAAACTTATCTTCTGAGGGCTTAAACTTTCAAACAAAAAAGCATAATTGGAAGTTAAAATCTACTTATGGAAAGGGTGTTCTTTAAATGGTGGACAAACAGCTAAGTCTTTGGAATAGGGTTTTTTATTTTATTTTTGCTTTGAAGTTTCATTGCTGTATATTCTAGATGAAGGAGCTATATGTAGCTGTCTTCATTCCAGCTTTTTGCTTCCATAGCAGGGATCCATCAACTTTTTTGTTAAAAATTACTAAATATTTAAGGCCTTGTGAGCCATTAGGGGACTTTCAGTCACAACTTTTCAATGCTGTCATTGTAATGCAAAAGCAGCAATAGAATCTGTAAATTCATGGCTGGAACTTCACATTTGTGGCCATTGAAATTTGAATTTCATATACACTTATGAAATCTTATTCCCAGCCATTTCAAATCATACCTAATGGTTTGTCGGATATGTATTGCTTTAGAGCTAGAAGCACTGTAAGTTGTTAAAAATAACAATTACTTCAATTACCTGATTTAAATTGACCTTTGTGGCTTTTTTGATAAGCTTTTCTCCTGAGTTTTATGACTACCTTTTAAAAATGTAATAGGAGAAACAACGTAAAGTTGTGGGCCATGATGTTCTATCAACATTGAAATAAATTAATGCATCTAACTGAAACATCCAGTCCGACTTTATTTTTTAACTACTGGATAGTTTGTGACTGTCCAGGATGTATATAACAACTGTGTGTGTGTGTGTGTTTATTAATTAATTAATTTATTTATTTATTAGGCAAAAGAGCGTGCCAATGGAATGGAGCTTGATGGACGTAGAATCAGAGTTGATTTCTCTATAACAAAAAGACCACATACCCCAACACCAGGAATTTATATGGGGAGACCTACCTAGTAAGTTTATTTTCAAGATAGAAATTTTATTGATTTAATTTGTTCACTTCCTCCATGTGCTATGGGGAAATTTTTGGCATTTCATCTAATCTTGCCATGGTATAAATAATTTTCCTTTTTTTCTTAACTAGCTAAAACTATTTGGTAATAAAGAAATACCATATATTCAGCTTTGCTTGGGTAATTAAATGTTTCTGATTTGGATAATTTCCCCCAGAATGGAAACTTAACCATTATAGTTAAAATCAAGTTTGTGTAAATCATACTCGAGTGCATTCTTTAGTTTTTGTTTCCTTAAGCAGAGTGGAAAACATGGACTGAACTAATAATAAGATAGTTCTCATGCAGAAAACTCTAATTTGGAGTCATTTTTTAAAACTTAAATATAAAGATCTTATATAAGGAAGAGAATTGTACAATAATTGCCATGTTCTAATAGGCTGAATTCCTAGTCTCAAACTGCATTCTCCATATGATTTTTTTTTTTTTGAGTGAAAATGTGGAATTGGCAAATTGGCTGAAGTTGAAAGCATGTTAGTAGAATATGTGTGCTCCCCCTTTTTTAAAGAACACATTTCTTTGTGGGTTTTTTTTTTGTTGTTGTTTTTAATTTCAGGGGAAGGGGGAGGGAAAGATAGAAACATCAATGATGAGAGCAAATCATTGATGGGCTACCTCCTGGGCGCCCCCTACTGCATATCAAGCCCACTACCCAGACATGTGCCCTTGACCAGAATTGAACCTGGGACCCTTCAGTCTGCAGGCTGACGGACGCTCTATCCACTGAGCCAAACCAGCTAGGGCTATTACAAATTTTTAAACTCTTTTGGTAAGAAGCCACATGTACGGTTTTGCTCAGTGGACAGAGCATTGGCCTGCGCTTGTGGGCTGAAGGGTCCCAGGTTCGATTCAGGTCAAGGGCACGTGCTCGGGTTGCAGGCTCAATCTCTAGTAGAAGGTGTGCAGGAGGCAGCTGATCAATGATTCATCATTGATATTTCTATCTCCCTCTCCCTTTCTCTCTAAAATCAATAAAAAATATATTTTAAAATATATATTTATGTACATTGTTACGGGGGGGACATTGTTTATCCACTATCAGAATTCACATGAGAGTAAAACTCATTTCCCAGTTAATTAACAAGCCTATGAATTTTTGCCCAGAAGAGGATAAAGAGATTATACTTGAAGCAATTTCCCAGTCATGTCCTATAGAGTTTGGCTGTGTAGGTTGTGTTAACCTTAAGAACCAAATGAGCATGGCATTCCTCTGCTGCTGTTAATAAATCTCTAAACATTTTTTTAACAGCAAAAAGTCATGTCTAGAAAAATAGGGGAGGCTACTTGGTATTTTATAAAGATTTAATACTATTCACAGTGGCAGCTCACGCCGTCGTGATTACTACGACAGAGGATACGATCGAGGCTATGATGATCGGGACTACTATAGCAGATCATACAGGTAAGTTAACCATAATAAAATGTGAGTTTTAAGTTGCCAAAGACTTGAAGGAAGCAGCAACTTTCCTGAATCTCAGTTGCAACTTTTTTTCACCCCTCCTAATTATAAGAGAAAGTTTATGTAAAAAGTTACACAGGTAGTAGCCCTTGAGGCTTAGGAGAGAGAAAAGCAGAGGTAACATGCCTGGGGAGAAAGGGAAAACGGAAAGGTGGGTGCAGGTGCCCTAGAAGGGAGAGTGCGCCTCAGTTGCAGCATAACTTAAGCATAACTTTTGTCACCTTTAATAAAAGCATTACTTTTTATACCAAGATAACCAGAGCTAGTTTTTAAACCAGATTTTTAGGTTTTGTCTCTTTTTAAATTAATCGGTATACTTTGAGCATGGCGGAAACCATTACAGACCATACTTCAGTTTTTCCTCCTTTTTTTTAATACTGTTTTTAAAGCAAAATAAACTGCTTTGAAAGTTAATGCTTTATAAAGCAGAGTTGTGGGGGATTTTTGTATATCTAATGTATCGTGCACTAAAAGGCAGGTAAAGGTGATTCTTGGAAGAGTCCATAAAAGTATTTATATAAGAAAAATAGTAACAGTTTGTTCATTACCGAACTTCAAATTTTTATGGGGTTGGTAGAGCTATGCCTATCATACTTGAAAAACAAAAGATCTTTTTGAGAAAAGATCAAAACAAAGTACAAGTTTCCTTTATTTTAGCAGCAGCAATAATTGAGACCCTGCCTTGTCAGAATGTAACTTGTGTAATAAGTATTGCCACAGTAGTAATCCATGATACCTTATCTTGGTGTGATGTTGGGGTATAGATAACTTCTTTTAAAAAAAAATTGATTTGATAATATTTTATGAAATTGACAATTGTTGGTGTCTTAATATCTATGGAAGTGAGGCCATAGGGTGCTTCTGACATTGTCCAGCATCTTATTTTGGACAACATTTTATTTAGAGTATTTTTGCATTAAATAGCACTTGAGGGATTGCTTATGGAAGCTGAGGATATTAAAGTGGTAGATTTGATCTTTAATTAATTTGAGCATTTACTTAGAGATATTCTTGGTTCTAATGATACTTGTTTTAGCCACCAGAGAGCTCTATGCCATTTTATTAAAGGAATGGCAAAGGTAGCTCTTTATCATTTTACTTACAAGAATCTAGCTTTCATATCTCACATGTTTGTTTTACTTCATGAATTGAAAATTCTTTCAAAAACTCATAAAAATTAATGAATTTTTGCCTTTACAGAGGAGGTGGTGGAGGTGGAGGAGGATGGAGAGCTGCTCAAGACAGGGATCAGATTTACAGGTATGCCAGAGAGGGTTATAAATCCTACAACAGTAGAAACGGCTCACCTGAAGACTCCATTACTAGTCTTTTGGTAGTTAAATTATGTGGCATTGCACAAGATTGGATTGCATGAAGTTCATTAAATGTTGTAACTGACCCCAAGTGATGTGGCCATGGCTTTGTGCATTTGCAGAAATTGGTTAAGCTTTTACTCAGTGGTATCATTTTTGTACTTGAATAAGATAATGGGTATAAGGTCATTGATTAGGACCTATAATATTTTTAGTATCTATTCCTGATAGCTATTCTCTTTTGCTACATTTTCTTTGTTGGCTGTTAAACACTTAAGTCAGTCTTAACAAATTGAAATCACTTGGATACACTAGTGAAATTTATTTTGAGGGCGTGCTTGGGATTAGTGGAAAAGACTTATTTTCTCATATTTAGTAGAATTTAAAATGGGTTAGTACATTATCAATGGATGAAACAGCAAGGAGTATTTGACTTCTGGTAGTATTGAGTGATCAGACCTTGAAATCCCATGACTAATACAAAGTTTTTGAAGGTTGATGGCAGCCTTCTAGTTTTAGAAACTGATAAAGGGACTGTGCGTAATTATATGTCTTTTCATCTAATTGTGATCTCTGGGATCTTAAATGGTCTTGACATTTGTTTACAGAAGGCGGTCACCTTCTCCTTACTATAGTCGTGGAGGATATAGATCACGTTCCAGATCTCGATCATACTCACCTCGTAAGTTTTTGTCTTGATATATTATTTAGTTTATATATTGTGATAATATGGCTTGCCCTACCTAATTTGCCAAACCACAGCAGAGTAACTTTCTTATGCAGAAAAGGGGTTCATTCAAGTAGTTTTATGTACTAGAGGCCCAATGCACAAAATTTGTGCAAGAGTAGGCCTTCCTTCCCCCTGGCTGCCAGCACCGGCTTCCCTCTGGCACCTGGGACCCAGGCTTCCCTCACAGCCCCGGCTTCATCTGGAGGGACATCCAGTCTAATTAGCACATTACACTTTTTTTATTATAGACTAGAGGCCCGGTGCATGAAATTTGTGCCCAGGGTTGGGGGGGGGGGATCCCTCAGCCTGGCCTGCAACCTCTCCAGTCCAGGAGAGATGAGACCTAAACCTGCGGTCAGACATCCCTCTCGCAATCCGGGACCACTGGCTCCTAACCACTCGCATGCCTGCATGCCTGCCAGCCTGATCACCCCTAACCACCTCTGCCTCAGCCCCTGCCACCAGGGCTTTGTCCAGAAGATGTCTGGTCTAATTAGCATATTATCCTTTTATTAGTATAGATAATCCCGCAAACTTTATGTTTAGGGTTCCAGATGGTATGAGAAGAACCCTTGAAACCTAGTTTCTAATTAAAATAGTAAATATAGCCCTAGCTGGTTTGCCTGGGTGGATAGAGCATTGGCCTGTGGGCTGAAGGATCCTGGGCTCAATTCCGGTCAAGGGCACATGCACGGGTTGCAGTCTCGATCCCCAGTGCAAGAGGCAGCCAATCAATGATTCACTCATCATTGATGTGTCTATTTCTCCCTTTCCCTTCCTCTCTGAAATCAATAAGAAATACATTTACTTAAATAAAGTGTGTGTGTAGGTAGTCTCACCATTTGTAGCACTAGTGCTTGTAATTTTTGCACATCTTGGGAACATCTTTGTGACTTAACCTTACTTAGCTCAGGTTGATAATTACTTCCTAGTTATTTCTATTGTTTCACATTGATTCATTTCTAGAGACTCTTGTGTGAAAGTCTTCCTCTATTTTCACAGAAGAGAATCTGGTACATAGGAATGTCTGAATGACAGATCATTCTAAAATTCTCAGTAAAATATACTTGCTAATCAGTTCTCAGAATTAATGCCCCTTTTTTCTCTCTTCAATTCCAGGTCGCTATTAAAGCATGAAGTGGAAGGCTTTCTGAAACCTACCTTAGAGTTTGGATATTGTTTGTGGACAATATTTTTTATTGTCTCCTGTTTAAAAAGTGAACAGTGCCTAGTGAAGTTAGGTGACTTTTACACCTTTTATGATGACTACTTTTGGTGGAGTTGAAATGCTGTTCTCATTCGCATTTGTGTAGTTCGGTGCTTTGTTCCAAGTTAAGTGTTTTCAGAAAAGTATGTTTTGCATGTATTTTTTTTCAGTCTAAATTTTGACTGCTGAGAAGTTTTTATTGTACAAAACTTCATTTAAAGGGTTTTTCTACTGAATCCAGGGTATTCTGAAGATCGAAGCCTGTGTGTAAAATGCTACCAAATGGCAAAAAGCAACAATAAAGTTTGATTTTTACTTTTCTTTCTAACATCAGTGCTTAGCAGAATTGTTCAGACTAGGTTGTCAATAGTAAATTTGAAGACAAAAATGTCCATTTTCCTTTAGTCCATGGAACCTACCATACTTGATATACCTGCAACTAAATATTAAAAATTATGCTCTGTAACTCAGTACTGCTAGTATTAGAACTAATGATCTTTCAATACAGCAAATGCTTAATGCTTATACTAATGTGGATTTGTCAGCCTTTATGTAATCTGTATTATATAGCAGGGAAAGAGTGGCACAATGTATGGCTTAAAAAGGCTATTTCTCAATGATGGTATTTCAACTGGTTATCAGCAAATGACAATACATTCCACCACAAATGTGCTCTTGTTCTAGCTTTTAGACTATATGAAAGAAACGGGGTGCTTCAGAATTTGGAGAAAGAAACACGACCGTGTTGTGGATGAACTGAAGACTGCCTGTTCATTTTTTAAATATTTCAGGTCCTTTGCATACCAGAGGAGGCCCAATTTCACTCAAATGTTTTGAGAACTGTGTTAAATAAATGCAAATGAAAAGTAAAGTGCTGGTACAATTCAGTTTACAAAGATTTTATTTTAACCTAGGAGTAGTTACTTAACCAGAACGATCCTCTCTACTTGGGGGTTGGCATTGTATTAAATAACTAGTTTCACCCTTATTCTGAGAGTGTCTGAAATGCATGTTCTCAATATTGTTTCTTCCGAATTTTATGCAAATGGCCAATTCTGTAGAAATTGCTATAGGTAGGCTATTTTGTTGGCCTGTTGATCTTTTTTTAAATTGATTTGAGAGAGGGGAAGGGAAATGGATATGCAGAGTAAAACATCAATCAGCTGCCTCCTGCACATCCCCCACTAGGGAATGAGTTCACAACCTGGGCATGTGCCCTGATCAGGAATTGAACCAATGACCTTTTGGTTTATGGGTCGACACTCAACCACTGCTGGACAGTCTGCTGATCTTTATATAGTACAGGCATATCAGAGGTTTGTTTATAGAACATCACAGTTAAGTGAGTTATGTGGATTTTATTTTCCCAGTGCATAACAAAGTCGTGTTTACAGTACACTGTGATTTTATAAAGTGCAATAGCATTGTCTTAGAAAAATAATGTACACGCCACCCTAGCCAGGTTGGCTCAGTGGATAGAGCATCAGTCTGCAGGCTGAAGGGTCTGGGTTCGATTCTGGTCAAGGGCACATGCTAGGGTTTCGGTCTCCGTCCCCAGTAGGGGTCGTGCAGGAGGCAACCAGTCAAAGATTCTCATCATTGATGTTTCTATTTCCCTCTCCCTTCCTCTCTGAAAATCAATAAAAATATTTTCTTAAAAATGTACATGCCTTAATACTTTATTGCTTATAAAAAAGGCTAACCACCTCAACCTTCAAGTCTATCTTTTTGCTGGTGGTGGGTCTGCTTTGATTTTGTTGAAAACTCAGTTTCTGCAAAATGCAGTAAAAAGGGTATGCCTGTATTTCTAGTATGTCCAATGTACATTACAAAGCATTTGACATATTCATTTAGTCTATAGCAATCATAATGTATTTACCTTTAGTCAAACATCTGTTAAAGGTCCAGTGCCAGGATCAGAGCATAGGCAATCTCAGTCCACAGTACTCATGATGCCATTCTGCCTCTAATCTGATTAAAAATATAGTTAATGTTTGTAAATTCTGTTACATAAAGAAAACACGCCTCAAAATGAAGTCATTCCCATTAATCGGTATTTAAACTTCACAAGGCTTGGGAAATTCTGAATTAGGCAAAGTTTTGCCCAGGATAAATAGGATTTTATTTATGTCATAAAAACTTTATAGAATGAGTTTTTGAGGATGAATGGGACTCGATTTATCAATGGAGTGCACACATCAGCAATTTGCTTTGGTCAACCAGCTAAGGTCTGTCTTGATTCTATAACCAAAAACCTAGACCTCATGAACATAGGCCTCACATAGTAGAGGAATTAAACTTCCAAATCTGGCTATCCTCAAATGTGCTTCTTAAAACAAAACAGCTTAAATCAACTGGCATTGATTTTTATTATTTACAATCAAGAATCTTCATTGATGCTCTGGCTAATAGGTCCCAAGTTTGAATCCTGGTCAAGGGCACATACCTGGGTTGCAGGTTTGATCCCCACCCCTGGTCAGGGTGCTTTTGGGAGGCAATCGATGTGTCTCATTGATGTTCTCTCTATCCCTCCTACTCTCCCAAATATGGAAAAAGTATCCTCAGGTGAGAAGTAGTAAAAGAAATCATTGATACATCTGTGATGCCTAATTGGTAACTATCTTTCTAGTCTGAATTCATGTCCCCTCCAATCCATTATCCACTGAGCAGTGAAATTGTCTTAAATAGTAAATCACATCTTTGCTTTCAAATCCTTCAGTCCCTTCCTCTTGCATTTAGGTATAAATCCAAACATTGTTTAGTGACCTGCCAGACCCTTCACTGTCTAGCTAACCTTCACCTCATTAAGTCTCTCCCCAGACTGATCTTGCAATTTTCTTTTCTTTTGAATACTAGAACCAGAAGCTTCCTGGGTTTAATAACCTGGAGAGTAGTATTCCCAATAATAAGGCACATGGGGAAGAGGCAAGATGGAGACAACTTGGAACTGGGTGCTTCTACTACAGAAGCTTGAGACCAATTCCTTATGTTGCTTACTGCCTGCTTGGCTTTTATTACAACAATTGGTTTTAAAACATGCTTATTAAAGCTAATATGAGCTCTCAAATCTAATGGCATCCACAGACAGGTACTATTCTAGTATGGGAGATAGTCATGATTGGGGGTCTTCGAGCATGTGGGATGGGATTTTATTAAGGCTAAAAAGGTTATCAGATTCACAGGATAAATACATTGTCTTTTCCCTGAAAAGGTAGTTCCTGGTAATATAAAGAGGATTATCTTAAAATTATATTTGTACTGTGTATTATAATTCTTGGGTCAGGCTAAATGTGTTAATTGAATGACTTCTGGTTTCCAGTTCAGCATGTAAGGAGCTTGGAAATCGCCATTCCAATCCTATCAACAAACTGAAAAATTAACAGCTCTTTTTAAATCCGTAAGAGAGGTGAGGTCGCAGGACAAACCACTAACCCCCTAAATTGGAGACCAAAATTGAATCACAACTTACTGGAGCAGAAACCCATAAGCATAAATCTAAAGAACCAGTTTCAGGGTAGGAAAAACTAAATTGAGTTGTTGGTGGAGGCTCAGTCTGGTGATAATACTAGTAAAAAATTAGATCATTTCAGGAGATTGATAAAAGAAGTTAGATATCAGAGAATTTGGAGGGAATAAAATTAAGGTACAGTACAAATAAAGGTCATAAGAATTATGGTTGTTAGAAAACCCCTTTGTATCTCCCCTTAAATTTACAACTGGGGGGACATCTATAATCCAAGTTTCTTCTCTCAACACATGAGAGGTCCGCATATTTGTATATCTAAAAGTGGACATATTGGAATACATGGGGGCAGCAGGACAGGGAAGGTGCCCACAGAATTCCCTGGCCACCTAGGCCCCAGATAAGGCGGTAGCAGTGAAATAGTTGGGATGCAGCCTCACACTACAACCCAGCAGAGAGTAAGGGTTTCTACTGTAGGCACCAAGAATCAAGCTCCCTGACCCCCCCTCCCGCACTGCTGCAGAAGTAGCAGTGAAGAAGAGTCTGTGGACTAGCTAGACCACAGTGCTGCCTATTCCCCTCATCCTCACCCACTACATCCTCAATCGGGGTGGTGCCGTGAGATCTAGTCAACCAAGATACAGGAGGGATACCCACCACCCTGGTCACCTAGGCAGCAATCCCCAGGGCCTCAGCAACACCCCACCACAACCACTACTGTATCTCCAAAGAACAAGTAGTGCAGGTGGGGGGAAAAATTGTGCTATAGCACCATCTACTGGAAAAAAAAAAAAGCCTATCAACCTGCTGAACTGTTAAGATAAAAATGATACTAGATATGACTCAGGTGTAAAAGAGAACTAAGATTTTTTTTTTAATGCAGGAATTCTATGAGAACTATCTGATTCCATTAGAAAGAGCAACAGAAAGATAATGAATGGGTATCCCAGAAGAAGAGAGGGAGAAAGGAAGAGAGAACCCATTCAAAGAAATAATTGAAGGGAACTTCCCAAACCTAAGGAAGAAACTAAACATTCAAGAAGCTAACAGAACATCATATTAAAAATTAATGGTAAGCAAAAAAATTTCAAGGCGTCTAGGGAGAAAAGACAGTAACCTATGAAGGAGCTTTATTAGATTATAATCATATTTCTCAGCAGAAACTCTACATCATCAAGAAAAGAGAAGTGTTAGAAAAGGAAACGCTTGTAACTGGTGGTGGGAATGTAAGTTGGTTTAGCTGCTATGGAAAACAATATGGAGGTACTTTAAAACAATAAAAATAGGATTGGCCGGCGTGACTCAGTGGTTGAACATCAGCTCATGAACTAGGAGGTCAATATTTTATTCCTGGTCAGGGCACATGCCCAGGTTTTGAGCTGTGGCATGCTGGAGGCAGCTGATCAATATTTCTCTCTCATGGATGTTTCTCTCTATTCTCTTTCCCTTCCTCTCTGTAAAAGAAAAGAACAAAACTAGAGGCATCCCATTTCAAATTATATTACAAAGCTACATTAATCAAAACATTATGGTATTAAAACAACAGTGGAACAGAATAAAGAGCCCAAAAATAAACCCACACATATATAGTCAACTAATCTTTGCGCCAAGAATACACAATGCCAAGTCAACTAACAATGGTGCCAAGAATATACAATGGAGAAAAGATAGTCTCTTCAGAAAAATAGTGTTGGAGCCGAAACCGGTCGGCCTGCAGACTGAAAGGTCCCAGGTTCGATTCCGGTCAAGGGCATGTACCTGGGTTGCGGTCACATCCCCAGTGGGAGATGTGCAGGAAGCAGCTGATCGATGTTTCTCTCTCATCGATGTTTCTAACTCTATCCCTCTCCCTTCCTCTCTGTAAAAAATCAGTAAAATATATTTTTTAAAAAATTAAAAAAAAATAGTGTTGGAAAAAGTGGATCTCCACATCCAGAAAAATAAAATTGGACCTTTTTACCATAAACCAGTGGTTCTCAACCTTGGCTGCACATTAGAATCACCTGGGAATCTTTTTAAAATCCTGATTTCTGGGCCTCATCCTCCGGAAATTCTGTTTCTTTGTTACTAATGTTGTGGCCCCACCCCATCACAAAGAATCCAGAAATCAGGATTTTAAAAAAGATTCCCAGGTGATTCTAATGTGCAGCCACCAAGGTTGAGAACCACTGCCATAAACCAAACTCAACCCAAAATGGATTAAAGACTTAAATATACGACCTGAAACCACAAAACCCCTAGATGAAAACATAGGAAAAAAAATTCCTTAAGATTTAAAATGCAGCAGAGTAAAAGGATGCTGCACAGACATGCTCTCAGGAACAAACTGGAATTACAACTGAAATACGGAAAGGCTTCCTGAATAATCAATGGAAAACAAACAGGAGAGAACCCTGATACCCAAGGACCAAAGGTGGAGA